AAATACTTTTACCCTACCACACTATCTCATAAGTCAACTCCAAAATCTCATCTTCCAAATCACCTAAATCAAATATGGATGAGACTTTAGACATATTCTACCCAGGGGCAAAATCCCTCTTCATCTGTGAACCTGTGAAATCTAGAATACAAGTTATCTGTTTCCAAAGTACATGGCGGAACAGGCACAAGGAAGACATTTCTGTTACAAACGGAAGAAATTGGAGGAAAAGAAGGCGATAACAGGCACTTTACATTAGCTCTCAAAGTTTGAAAATAATCTTCTGTTCTTCGGGACCATTGGGTAAGGGTCCTGCCCTCTAGATTCTGAGTTTTGGCCACATCCTCTGGATTCTGAATGGAGACCCCTTGGCCCTGAACTTCAAGTCTGCCACCCAGGCACACTGAGATGGCAACTCTACTCCCTTGGCTTTGGGCAGCCCCATTCTCCTGGTCCACCTGAGTGACGACCCTACCCCCTTGGCCCCACAATGCTCCATTCTTCTGTCCCTTGAGCATGGCAGCCCTCACCCTTCAGCTTTGGGTGATGGCTCCACCTTCCTGGCACACCTTAATGACAGCCTGACACTCCAGAACCAAGTTGGTGAAAACTTGACTCATTGAAACCTAGAAGGTGGTGGTGGTCCACCCTTTGAGATCCAGGAGACCATGTCCCCATCCTTTGAAGCCAAGAACACCCTGCTTCCTGTGCTCCTTCCAACAGTACGCTGATCTCTGAGCTGCTCTAGGGGTGATCCTTCTCTTTTCTTGGAGAGTGACAGATGTAGTCCTTATGGTCTATTTCCTGTAGAATTCCAAGAGGCAGATAGTGTTCTTTCATTTCATTCTTTCTCTGTCCCCTTCAGTTTGAGCTGATGGGTTTTCAGCTGTAGTAGTTGGATAGATCCATTAATCACAGGGTTAATCTCTTTAATAAAAGATTGCATAACCATGTCCTTGGTGAAAATTCTAGGACATGTGTTCTTAGTTTTTATAATAGAATTTTCCAAATCTTTAAGTTGTGTTTTCATTTTGCACAGTTCATTTTTAAGCCCGTCTCTTTCCTCTTGCATTTTACTATAAACATCTAGGAGAAAGGAAACCCATATAGCATCTTTAAGACCTTGCTTAGAAATCTCCTCAGCTTCATATCCAAGTTCATCAGTTACAAGTTCTATCTTCCGCTGAACATTTGAACATAATTCAGACAAATTCTTTGCCACTGCATAAAATAACATCGCCCTTCTTTCATTGTCCAATCACATGTTCATCATTTTCTTTTAAAGCCTCACCAGAAGCACATTTACTGTCCACATTTCTAGCAACATTCTGTTGCTAGTGCCATATATATTCTCTAAAATGATAGTTTCCCTACAATGTTCCTCACTTCCTTCTTAGCCCTCACCAGAATTGCCTTTGATGTCCATAATTCTATCTATAGTCTCTTAAAAGCAATCTACACTTTTACTATTGTTAGATGCTATCAAGCAATTCCAACTCATAGTGACCGTATGTACAACAGAATGAAACACTGCGTGGTCTTGCACCCCCCTCACAATTGTTACTATGCTTGAGTCCATTGTTGTAGCCAACGTGTCAGTTCATCTCACTGAAGATCTTCCTCTTTTTCACTGACACTCTACCAGAAGCAATGTCCTTCTCCAGGGACTGTTGCCTCCTGATAACACATCCAAAGTATGGGAGATGCAGTCCCACCATCCTCACTTCCAAGGAACATTCTATCTGAATTTTTTCCAAGACAGACTTGCTCATTCTTCTGGTAGTCCATGGTATATTCCATATTCTTTGCCAACACCACAATTCAAGCACATAATTCTTTTTCGATTTTCCTTATTCATTGTCCAGCCTTTGCATACATTTGAACCAACTGAAAATACCACCATGTTCACCTATTAGACACCTTAAACTCTTCCAGCCTCTACCCATTACCCAATTCCAAAACCACTTCCATATTTTAGCTGTCTGTTAGAGCCACATCCCACTTGTCTGCTACCAAATTGTCTTAGTTATCTAGTGCTGCTAGAACAGAAATTCCAAAAGTGGGTGGCTTTAACAAGCAGAAATTTATTTTCTCACATTTTAGGAGGCTAAAAGTCCAAATTCAGGGTGCTGGCTCTAGGCAAAGGTTTTTTCTCTGTGAGATCTGGAAGAGGCCCTTGTTTCTTCAGCTCATTTCCTGGTCCCTTGTTGTTGTTTGCCGTTGAGTCGGCCCCAACTCATAGCGACCCCTCGGGTTTCCGAGGCAGTATCACTACGGAAGTAGGATTGCCCAACCTTCCTTCCGAGGAGTGGCTGGTGGGTTTGAACCGCCAGCCTTCTGGTTAGCAGTCAAGTGCCTTAGGCACTATGCTACCAGAGCTCCTCCTGGTCCCTTAGAGATCTTCATATGGCTCAACATCTCTACTTGCTAGCTTGCATTTAGTCTCTTTTATATTGCAAAAGAGATTGACAAAAGATACACTTTACCCTAATCTTGTCTCATTAATATAACAAAGACAAACCATTCCCAAATGGGATTATAACCACACACATAGAGGTTAGGATTTACAACACATAATTCTGGAGGACAGAGTGATAACAGGAGTCAAGGAAGCTTTCTGAAGGAGGTGGCACCTGAGCTGTCCACCAGGAGAAGGAAAACACATCCAGAACGTAGAGGCAGAGAGGACGGGCAGACTAGAACCTGGAACAGCCAAGCAGAGTTAGAGCAACAGTACTAGTTAGAGCAACAGTACTGGGGGCTGGGAGCAGCCTGTGACATGAAGGAGTAGGAAGCAGAGCTGGGGAGAGAGAGAGATAAGGTTGGGAGATGTGAATAGGTAAACAGGGCATTTACTAGTATGTGAGGTGGAGAGAAAGTGAGTCAAGGAGACAAGGGCTGGGGAAGGAGGAGGCCAGAGAGGACAGGGAAGGGATCAGGTTTGTGGGAGCTGAGAGGGCCTCCTAGACAGGGAGCCCTAGGCTTAAATATGGGTGTGGTGCAGTTGGTGGTTACAGAGTGGGAGGAAAAGTATGAGTAGAGATGGAATAAGGACTTTAATAATTTAGGTGGCCACCAGAGTCCCTTCTTCTGGTCAGTCTTTGTTGTTGTTAGGTGCTGTCAAGTCGGTTCCGACTAGCAACCCTATGTACAACAGAACAAAACACTGCCTTGTCCTGCACCATCCTCACAATTGTTGCTATGTTTGAGTCCATTTTTGCAGCCACTATGTCAATCCATCTTATTGAAGGTCTTCCTCTTTTTTCACTTTCCCAAGCATGATGTCCTTCTTCAAGGACTGGTCCCTCCTGATAACATGTCCAAAGCACGTGAGATGATGTTTCATCATCCTCGCTTCCAAGGAGCATTTTGACTGTATTTCTCTCAACACAGATTATTTGTTCATTCTTCTGGCAGTCCATAGCATATTCAGTATTCTTCACCAACACCAAATACATCAATTCCTCAGTCTTCCTTCTTCATTGTCCAGGTTTCACATGCATATGAGGCAACTGAAAATACTATGGCTTGGGTCAGGCGCACCTCAGAACTCAAGGTAACATCAAGATGAGATGATGAAAGCAGAGGTAATTGGCCACTCCCACCTGCACCAGATCTTGGGTTCTCATTTCTTCTAGTAGGTCCAGATCTTTCTTTCAGGCAGATCCTGAGTCCTCACCACCAGCCCGCTGGAGCTGTCCAAGACACTCTGGTAGGAAAGTCCCCAGTTAACAAAAATAACAACTCACCCACCAGCCACTCCTCGGAAAGGAAGGTTGGGCAATCTACTTCCATAGTGATACCACCTTGGAAACCCAAGGAGGGGTCACTATGAGTCGGGTCTGACTCGACAGCACATAACAACAATAACAATATGCTTTGTGGTCTTCACAGTGCTTTCACCACCATAACTGGTATGTCTTACAATCAATCTAGGATGAACAGCTCTCTGCTATTATCCTCCTTTTCATAAGTGACTGCTGCAGCTCAGAATGGCTAAGGGCTTTGTGAAGGTCACACAGCCTAGTGGGTGACCAAGTTGGGATTTGAGCCCAGCTCTTGAGATTGCAAACCCCACAGTGACTCTGCAGTAGCTGTAAACGACAGGGCATGGTGACAGCTGAGTCCCAAGGACAAGACTGGGGAAGGAGGTGAAACAAGCTCAGGAAAGGGAGAGCAGGGAAGAGGGTGAGATAGAGGCACGGTGATAGAGGCTGATAGCAGAGGCAGGAAGAGAGAGCAGAGCAGGGGGTCGGAGAGCCTTTGAGACAGCACTAGGAGTCTCCAGAAAGACCTGGACAAATATCCCAGCAAGATGGAAAGAACAGAGGCCCATTCTTCCACACTATGTCTCTGTGAGACACGGTAGGGAGGGGTCTATTGTTTCCATTTCACAGGTGAGAAAACTGAGGCAAGGAGTGGTGCCTACACAGCTTGCCCAAAGGCCCATAGGAACTTAGGGCCCAGGAGGCCTGATAGAAGCTGGGCACAGTAGACAGACATCTGGGCCTTTTCCCCCTATAAAGTGGATGATGAAACAGATGAGGGAGGAGGTTATGGAGACAGAAACCAGGGCTGCATCCAAAGAGAGGAAAATAAGGCAGTGGCACGGATGGAGTCTGTCAGCGAGAGAGAGAGACGGTGGAGAGATAAGGCCCTGACAGTCGGCTCAGTTTCTACGCAGGTAGCGTCAGCTGGTGGCTTGTCATTGAGCCACGAGCCACGGGCGCCTCCTCCTGCCCCCCGCGGACCCATCCACTTGGGTTTCTCTGCACCATGATGCTCCACTGTCCACCGGGAGGGGAAAGAGGGAGCGGGAGAGTAGGTAGTGAAAGCACCTCCTCCCCCATCCACTCTGAAATCCGCAACATCCTCCGCCGCATCCTTCAGGCCCGGCCCCCTCTCTCTCACCCCACCCCCCACCCCCGCGCCCGGATGGTACGCTCCTGCTTGCCTGGCCCGGCTGCAGTGGATGTTGCTAGAACCCACGCGGAGGAAAGAAGAGACGCAGGCAGGCTGCGGTGACCCAGGCGGCCGCCCCTGCTTCAGGGACCCCTTCCCAGAGAGACGGCACCATGACCCAGGGAAAGGTACGGGCATCTCCCCCGCCTGCACCATCCTCCATCTGCCATCCTCCATCCTCCAGCTCCCTGCCTCCCTGCCATCCTAAGCAAGCCCTCTGGACCACTTAAAGCGTTCTCCCCTGGCTCTTGTGCAAGCGGTCCTTGCTGAAGTTGGGAGACCAAAAGAACCATTTAAGGTCATGAATGGGTCAGGGCCTCTTCCCATCTCAGGCCCACCTCTCCTTCCGGCCCTCCCCTGTCTCCCTTCCACCTGATGCTTTGGCTCACCGGACCCTTCACAGGCACTCAGCCCCCAATGAGTGACCTGTGTGTGTGTGTGTGTGTGCGCGCGCGGGCACACACACGCCTGGTGAGCCCCTAGAGGCAATGACTATAGGGCATTCCCCTCTGGTCCAGCCTTCTAATCCCAAACCCAACCACTTCATGCTCATCTTTCTCACCCTCCACTAAAACACTCCCCACCTAGCATTCCGTCCCATCATTATTCCACATCTGCACATATCTCCTTTGGTTGGGGGTTGCTATGGCAACCTGGCATTAGGATGCTCTAATTTTTGTTTTGTTTTTGGCTGAGACATCGGTTTGGATAAGACTGGATAAAATGTCTTTTTTGTTTGTTTGTTTGTTTGTTTTGTTTTAGGCCTGAATTGTAGATAACACTGGGGCAGACTTGGCTGGCCTCATAGGGTTATGTAACTTCAACAGCCTGTGGAATTATACAACCACCAGGGTTTGGGGGAAAGAGGGAGGGTCTTCTGGACCTCTGTTTGGGGGTGCCAATGATCAAGCAGAGAAATCAGGACAGGGAGGTCCCCTACCCTCCCCCTTTTTGTCTCTGAGATGAACCTCAGAGCCAATGTCGTCTTTGCAGATCCTCAGACCCTCTTCTGCCTGTTTTTTTAAGCTAATCAGGCCTCAAAATGATGTCATTGGGTGATGCCACCTCCTGCCATTGGTCAAGCCTCACTTGGGAATGCTGGATGTGGGGAGGGGGCAAGGCCCTGGAGGCTCCTGGTGCCTGAGGGGCAGGGTGGGGCTGGTGAGGAGGACCAGCTTTGGAGTAGGCTGAAGTAAGCATCCTTTTCCCAGACCTGAGCTCCTGGTCAGCCTGGGTCTGTGGGCTGGGATGGATTGTCCCAGGCATGATGAAGGGGGCTGGGAAAGGCAAGGAAGCTGATGAGCCAGGGCTCTGGGCTCTTCCCCAAGAAGGCCTGGGGAGTGTTCAATATTGTGAAAATGAAAACCTCCCCCCTCCTGACCCTCTCCACCCCCCTCCCACACCCACCAGTCACTTTGCTGACGTTGCTTCTTGTCTTTCGGTGAATGCGTTCATTCTGCCCCTGCTCCAGCCTGCCTGGCCCAGCTCACAGGCTTTCTGAGGGATGGATAATATTCCTCCAGTTCAGTGGGCCCAGGACTGAATGGGAACCAGAGACCATCTGGTCTTTGCCTGCTTCTGGGCTGACCCAGAATTGGCTTGCAAAGAAGAATTCTGCAGCCTTTTCAATAGCCCCTCAGGTTTATCATGTTCTTTTTGGAACGAGACCTAAGTCCCATGTCCTGAGGTACTGCCCTTTGGTTGCTATTTCTGTTTTCATACCACCCACTCCACCTCAGTCTTCCTTTCTGTGGCTGTGCCATGCAGGCCCTGAGTTATTAACAAGCTAAAGTTGAACACTGTGGGGCAGTACACATCTGAGTGTATAAGGACTTGAGATTTCAACCTGCCATTGGCACATTTCCTTCGGGCCCTCAGTTTCTTCCTCTGTATATTTAAGGAAAGGGCTGAACTAGATCACTTCTGAGGTTCCTTCCAGAAGTGACATTTGGTGATTTGGTTCTGGCTTGGTGGAGAGGCTGAGACTTGGGTAGGATGAGGCCAGAGCATGCCCTTAGCAAGAGACCTCTTGCCTTCCCTCCACATTCCCCATTCCTCTTTCTCCTTTCTCTTTCCTCCCCTCTTTCTAGCTCTCTGCTCTCCTTCTCCCCATTCCCCCTGTGTTCATCTCCAGTCCAGCTGCAGGAAGCCAATCTCAGTAGAAGATGTCAGGCTCTGTAGCCCAGTAGGCCAAGTGTGGCTCTGTGACCTTCAGTGAATCATTTCTCTCTGATCCTCTGTTCCCTCATTTAAAAACAAGAGTCTAAGTGGCTTATTGCTTCTATGAACAACTGCTTCCTTTGCCATCAGACCAGAATAACTGGATGGTGCCCAGTTACCATTACTGAACATTTTTATCAAAGATTCTTTAGAAGAATCATGATCAAAAGGGAGGAAATACGTAATAGAATTGCAAATTCTCATGGAATTGAGTTTTTCCAGAGCCACAGAGGCTGGATGAACTCCCAAAATATCCTCCTGAACTAATCTTTAACCCTTTAATCAAAATATATGCCCTGAACTCTTCTTAAAGCCAAACAATAGTTTACTTAACTAGGAAAGAAGGTCTTTGTAAAGCATTATGCTCTTTTAAGAACTATCTATATGGAATCAAATTGTCAACAGCAACTCGAAAGATTAGATAGGAATCTTCGGGGGCAGTGAATCTATGTTAATGGAGGATGAACAACTTAGAAAAGGAAGGTGAGAATTGTTGCACAATTTAAAGAGTATAATCCATGTCACTGAATTGTTCATGTACAAACTGTTGAACTGATACAGGTTTTGCTGAGTATATTCCCAACAACAACAAAAAACAGGAGTCCAAATGCAACTAGTGGGGAGATTAAGAACCTTTAATTTAATAATACTTTTGAGGGTGTGCTAAGTGCCAGACCCTTCTCTGGACCCTAGAGAAGCAGCAGAACCAAATAGGCCTAGTCCCTGCTCTGGCCCTAACTTTCCACCAGTGGTGGGCACTATTCAGAGTTTTCTCCTTCCTCAGTTTTTATCCTGGTTCCACTGCATGCCCTGGCCGGCTCTGACCCTCATGGGGCTCAGTTCTTCCTTCTGTCTATAAATAAGGATGTTCTTGTCTGTACCACTCTTCTAGTGCAGGTGAGAAGTAGCCAGGGAAGTTCCAGGTATTGAGGGGCTGGTGAGGAGGGCTTGGAAGGCTCCCTTTCCCTGGTGACCATCTCTCTGTGCCTCTACTCCACAGCTCTCCGTGGCTAACAAGGCCCCTGGGACTGAAGGGCAGCAGCAGACCAATGGTGAGAAGAAAGAGGCTCCAGCAGTGCCCTCGGCCCCGCCCTCCTATGAGGAGGCCACCTCTGGGGAGGGGCTGAAGGCGGGGGCCTTCCCTCCAGCCCCCATGGCTGTGCCCCTCCATCCCAGCTGGGCTTATGTGGACCCCAGTAAGTCTCTCAGTTCCTGGAGGCTGAGCGTCAGGGGGCGTGGCAGGTCCAGATGGGAAAGCTGGGTAAGGGGAGGTTAGTTGCCCAGAAAGTAATGTTCTTTGTGATTGTTGTGTGCTCTGTTGTCAAAGGCTTGGGATTTGGAGACCTCTTCTGAGGGCAGAGCAAGAAGGATTTCATGAAAATGGAGAGATACAATGTCTGTGGTCAGGGTGCTCTCAAATGGGGAAGAGGGCATTTTTCAACATCGTTGAGCTAGATCATGGAGGAGTTGGATGAGGGAGAAAAACCAGGGGCCAGCTAGAAGAAAAGGATGCAGAAAAGAGGTGGAGAGGAGGTAGAGTAGACTGAGGAGGGCAGTCTGAGGCTTAGCTGGCCAAGGCTTAATGGGAGCTGGCTCCAACAGGCCCACCCTGTGAGAGAATGTGTAATGTTTACACATTGGCTACTCTGAAACCTTAAGACCATTTGAAAGCCCCTGGAGGCCCCAGGGTTGTTGAGGGTCAGGGGACTGGGAATCCCCATCACTAGTCACTCTCCTTGGCTCTTTCCTTCCCCAAACCCCTGTTGGGGGTGGGGAGGGCAAGACATGAGGGAAGTGTGTGGCTACAAGCCAGGACCTCAGTGTCCCTCACAGCTGACATAGTTCACAGCAAACTCACCTGGCTGACTGTGACTTTCTTGCATACCAAGAACCCCCAGTGGGAGGGAGCGACTCTGTTGAGTTGAGCTGCCTCTGGAGAACTTTGCCTCAAGGCTGAGAATGTAGAGCCCCCAACCCTCACCCCCAGCTATAAGGACTGTCAACTCTTGTATCTTCCTTGGCCTTTTCAGCCTCCCTCAGCAGCCTTTCAACCTCCCCTCCCCCACCCTACCAAGCCCTCCCCAACCCCCACCAATAGCAAGATTCTAAAAGGGATCCTAGGGACAATGCCCTGGACAGAGCCTCTGCTCACAGGGACTGGGGCATCATGGTCTACCACTCTTATCAGAAACCTCCTCGGCCTAGCATCCATACCTATCCCACTGTGACCTACTGGAAGATCAACGAAGGTCTGGCATTTGTGGGAGCCCCTCTCACTGCCCCAGACAACCCACAGGAATGCTTTCCTTCTCCTTTTCTCCCCTTCCATGGCCTGGCCACTTGGGTTTTTGGCAGGGAGGAGGTGGACAGAAAAAGAAGGAGAGGTGATGGATAAGAAGATGAGAGTGTCCTAGCCTCAGGCTTGCAATGGGTCCACCTCTCTCCTCTCCCTCACTTTCCATATCTTGGTTGCCTCAAGGAATGTTTTCCACAGAACTGTCAGGACAGGAATGAAGCTCATTTCTGTCAACAGTTGACAAACATTTACTAAGTGTGTGCACAGTGCCCGGCCTTGAGCTAACTTCTGAGGATGCATGGAATTGCAAGACCTACCATGATGTCTGCCCTCACAGAGCTGGCTGTAGACAGCTACAACACAGAGAAATAGATGTTGTGACAGAGGCTGGGCAGCTCAGTTAACTCTGATAATCAGGGAAGGCTTCCTGGAGAAAAGGTCATCCATGCCGAATCCTAGGAGCTCTGGTAGCATAGTGCCTAAGGCATTTGACTGCTAACCATAAGCCTGGCGGTTCAAACCCACCAGCCACTCCTTGGAAGGAAGACTGGGCAATCTACTTCCATAGTGATACCACCTCAGAATCCCAATGAGGGGTCGCTGTGAGTCAGAAACAATTCGATGGCAGTGAGTTTGGTTTTGTTTGTTTGCTGAGTCCTGAAGGATGGACAGGAATTAGCCTGGTGAAGAGACAGGGAATTGAGTATTCAAGGCTGAAGGAATAGAATATGCGGGATCCCAGAGGCAAGGGAGCATATGGCTAAAAAAAATATACTCAGGCTAGAGAAAAGTGGAAGGGAGTAACATGTAGTGGGGCAGGAGGGCTCTGCTCATGCTCAAAAAACCCAAAAAACAAACTCACTGCTGTGGAGTTGGACCTGATTCACAGCAACCCTTCCTGGAGTTTCCAAGGCAGTATCACTACAGAAGTAGATCGCCCAACCTTCCTTCCGAGGAGTGGCTGGTGAGTTTGAACCGCCAGCCTTCTGGTTAGCAGTCAGATCCCTTAGGCAGTACGCCACCAGAGCTCCTGGACCATGGAAATTTTTGGTGAGGAATTTGAAGTTGAATAAAGGGCATTGAGGAGCCATCCAAGAAGTCTAAGCAGTGCAGTGTCATAGTCAGTTTGCCTGTTTTGAAAGACCAAGAAGGAGGCTATTGTTGTGGGGGGTGGAGATCATGGGGAGCTGGTGGGGGCAGCGTAGAGGGACTGAGTGGGCACATTTGAGGGCATGAGAATAGCTGTCTGAGGACAGCAAGGGCAGTGTACTCCCCATAAGGCACAAAGCCACAGGTTTTCATCATTATCTTGTTTAGTCCTCATGAGGTGGTTGTCATTGACCATGTCATAGAAAATAAGTTCAGAGAAGGTTGGTGACTTGCTCAAGGTCACACAGCTAGGAAATCCATACTCAGATCTGTCTGACTATGGAGCCTGTGCTCTTCCGAAAGTCTGAGTTCTGAGACCAGGGTCTGAGTTTTCATCCCGTCCACACCCCATTTCTTGCCCTTGTCCTGTCTTTATCTCCTTTCCAGACCTCCCCATAGTCCTGTTTCCCAGCTGGAGCACCAGCAGTTCTACCTTCTCCCCACATTTCCACATCCAACTAGTTTCTCATCCCTGCCCCAAGGGACTCAGAGTGGGATGGGCTCAGGACCTTTGGCCCTGGGATATGCTAGGTGGCACAGGGAGAGTGGATGTTCTTCTCTGATCCCTGACTCCCACAAGGGAGCCAGTGTCCAGAGAGATGTGATGGCGAATCAGATGGAAGGGTCACTTTTGTTTGTTTGGCTGCTTCGAGCCCTGGTCAGGGTTGAGGGGGAAGAGAGATGACAGCTCATTCCCAGGACCCAGAGCAGGAAAAGCAAGAAGTGACCAGAGAGAGATCTGGGGGTGGGGTGGGGTGGGGGCTTGAGAATGGGGCTAGAGAAGAGGGCTTTAGCAGGTCCAGAGAGCCAGTTTGACAGCCAGGCAGCTCTGAGCAGGTGAAATTTGGGACAGTATTTATGTGTATGGGGTGCCCCTCACAGCCCCTTCCCCTGCCCATCCCAGGCAACTCCAACTATGAGAGTGGTTTCCCCACGGGAGGCCTCGAGCGTTTTACCACCTTCAGTTGGGATGACCAGAAAGTTCGTCGAGTCTTCATCAGAAAGGTAACTGCCTCTCCCAACTCTCTGGCACTGGGAGACTGGGTTTGGGGAGGCCCTTGAGCAGACTCTGACCCAGCCCTCTGCCCGTGCAGGAGCCATCCCCCTCCCTTCTCTTATACTCCTATCTGGCAGCACCTATGGGGAAAGTGCCTCCTTAGTTCTCACCTACTACCCTTGCTGCAGCCTAAGCACACTGTCTCTTCTTTCCAGATACTGTGGGCCCCATTCCTGTGGGTGTGGGCTCTGGAAGGAACTTTTCTCCCCTTTCATCCTGGGTCCATTCTAATGACCCCTAGAAAGGAGGGTGTGGCTCCAGAGGCTGTCTGGGACGGAGTCACTGGGAGACTAAGGGCTAGACCTATCTAGCCTCACAGGGCTCCAAAAGCTGAGTGGAACCCCCTTCCACTCCCAGGTCTACACCATCCTGCTGATCCAGTTGCTAGTGACTGTAGGTGTCGTGGCTCTCTTTACCTTCTGGTGAGTTGGACCAGCACCTTCCAGGGATGACATTATCCAGGCATGGGCAGGGGGACCAGAATTGGACTTCTCTCGGAGTGTTTGCCTGAGGAAATTTGTGCAGGGGCACGTAGGAAATGGGGCAGTGGGTCCAAAAGACCACTTTCTGTGTGGGGAAGAACCTCAGTGCACTGAGGGTGAGGGGTTCTCCTTCTAGAGTGGGCCCGGGGTCTGCATGCACAGATGCCTCTGGACCTGCAGATGTCTGTGAGGCATTCATTTCTCTCAGGTCCACCAGCCTCACACCAGGTATCACAGGCACCCACAGACCAGGACTGTGAGCTGGGGGCCCTTGAGCTTCCAGGGGCTATATTTCCTCCTTCTTCCTCTCAAATCCCATGAACTGTGTGGGGCAGGGCAGATGCTGAACCAGAAATAGAGACTGAGGGTAATTTCTAACTCTCTCCCTCCTTCCCTTCTCTGCAGTGACCCTGTCAAGGACTATGTCCAGGCCAACCCCGGCTGGTACTGGGCATCCTAGTGAGTATGCTCTGACCCCCCCCAGGGTTCCTCCCAGAGGAAGATCAATGACACAAGGAGCTCTGTTGACAGATCCCAAGCCCATGGCCTCCCCCAACCCTGTAGGAACTGTCCTCAGAGATGTCCCAGTTCTGCTGACAAGGAAGGAAGGGTGGAGCTGGGGCCTCACATTGGTCCTGAGGGGAAGGGGGGCTGGGACACCTTGGCTCACACTAATGATAATCTTGCTGCTCCTATTAATATTGTTGTTATTAATGCTTATGAATTACTAATCATAATAACTACCTATTAGAGTGCCTAATAAGGGCTGGGCACTGTTCTATGTGCTCATGTACAGTATGGCATTCTATCCTCAACTTGTAAGATTACCTCAGAAACCTGAGGCTCCTAGAGGTTGAGTAATTTGCCTAAGGTCACACAGCTAGTCAGTGGTGGAACTGGGATCCAAACCCAGGACTCAGGTTAAGGACTGCACTCTTAACTACTCTGCTCGGTTGACTCCCTTCAGCATGTGGGCCCCACTTGGCTCCTATTTGTCCTATATTCTTTAAGTAACAGGGCAGATAACTTGGGTGAAGAGATTTGAAGGTGTAAGTAGTTCTGACGCACCAGTCTGGGCAATTCAGGGGTCATTCTGGATTAATTACAGGCCAGAACCACCTGAGATCAGAGCAGAACTGCTCTGGCTACAGCCTCTTCCTGGAACCATTGTGGGCCCCACCCTGTCCTGGCGCTGCTGGGGAGGAGCCCTCTGGCTGGGAAGGGGCTAGCAGTACAAGGTAGCTCAAGAGGAAAGGAGTGAGCCCTGAGTACAGAGCACTCATTCCACCTTGAGGGTTCACCTCAGAAGATGGACCAAGGACGACTGGGGATAGCTTTTTGTCCCAGGGATGGGAATGGGTCAAGCAAAAGTATGGAAGTGAGAATGGAAGTGGTACAATTGGTATTTCAGGGACTAGACCAGCCAAGGTCTGGGAAGTTCTATGTGCGGAACCCTGGGACATCTCAGAGTGCAGTGGATTTCATTGGTGGAGTTATGAATGCCCAGCCAAGGCTTTCCTAGGCTTCTTCCTGGAGGGGAGTTGGTAGGGAGGTGGATTCAGCCCTCAGATCACCCAAGCCCCAGTGGTCCCAGAGTGTGCCTGGAGTTAATACAAGCCAGCCAAAGGCTGACAGGAAGCAGACTCATCCTGGCCTCTGAGGCTCCTGGGAGGAGCAGAACTGGCTCAGTGAATGTTGGGGTGAGACAACACATTTACACCCAGACAGAGCCTTTCTTAGGGCGCAGGACAGAGGACTGTCTGCAGACCAAGCAGGGAAGCATGTGCCATGGGGAACTGGGAGGCAGGCTAATGAGCCCCCAGGGACTACGTGCGGGGGCCAGCCCACATGGCTGGTTGGCATGGCTCCCAGCACATCAGCATTGTCTGGCAGCATTGGATGCCCCATAAATTCAGGAACGGAGTCCTCGGCCCCCCTCCAAGCCTTCTGTGGGAGAGTCTGTGGGAGCCCATGCTTTAAGTAGAGGCTGACAAGGGCACAGCCCAAGAAAGAGCAGAACCCATGTCATTGAGGGGTGTGCGTGTGAGAATGTATGGTCAGGTGTGGAATCCTTCCACCTCTTTCTGGCTGGAGGTTGCGGGGAGGCGGGTTGGGGTAGGTTTGTGTGTGGGGGTGGGAGGGGAGGGAACATCATCACTGTGAGTCAGAAGTGGGAATGAACTGTATGCTTTTCCTGGGGTTCTCCAAATTCTTGGGGGAAAAACAAAACACTGCCAGTGAGTCAGTTCTAACCCATAGCAGCCCCTACTGGGTTTCCAAGGTGGTAAATCTTTACTGGAGTAGATTGCCCAACCTTCCTTCCAAGGAGTGGCTGGTGGGTTTGAACCGCCAGCCTTCTGGTTAGCAGTCAAATGCCTTAGACACTTAGCCACCAGAGCTCCTTAAGAGCTTAAATTTGGGAATTCTGCTGACAAAATACTGCCCCATTCCTCCAGGAAGCCTATGTGGGGCTCTGCCTTGCCCGCTCCTTGTCCATCAGTTCTATCCATTCTGCCCCCTGAGTCTATCTCTGTCTGGTGGGTCTTACCTCCTCCAACACACCACATGTCCCCCAGGGCTCTTTTAGAATAACAATAATAGCAATAAGAATAAAGCAGTTTCTTTCCTGTGTGTGAGGCACTGTGCTAAGTACTGTACATTATATTTCCCATTTGATCCTTACCACAACTGTCCTAGGCAGGTACTGTTATTATCTCCATTTTATGATAAGGAAACTGAGGCTCAGAGAGAAGTTATTACTTTCTAAGCAGCAGTGGCCACATTGACATCCAGGTCTTTCTGTTGCAAAGATGGTGCATGTACCTTCTATATTCTGCTGCCTCCTTCAAGGTCCAGAACCAGGTCCTGGAGGAAGACAAGGTGGGGGAGGACACTGGGTTTGGCAGCTGGCCTTTACCTGATCCTCACCACTCCCAACACACACACACACACACACACACACACACTGTGAACAGCCTGTGGGTCCTACCCAGGCTCTGACATGCAAGTCAATCTTTCACTTGTTCTGTGACTCATTCCTTGCCCCCTGGGATGGCAACCTCCCCTCCCGCTTCCTAAAGCAGTCATCTCCCTCAGTGAATTTTCACCTTATTGTCTGATAGCTCCCACTGAGCCACTGCGGGAACCGTAAGGCTCCCTACAGGGAAGGAGTAAGGTCTGAGTGTGGGGGGAAATAAAACAGGCAGAGTGTGAGACCAGACCTGGGGCTGAGTTGAGCCAAAGCCTCTCCAGGAAGCTGTCAGTCACCCAGCTTCTAATTAGAGTAACAGCTCTTGGGCCAGGTCCTTCCTTGCCTTGTGCCAGACCCTGTGCTCAATGTACATTGTCTCCTTCAATGCTGTAACAGCCCAGTGAGTTAGTACCATTATTTCTGTTAAACAAACGAGAAAACTGGGGCTCAGCAATTAGGTAACTTGCCCAAGGTCACAGCACAGTAGAGCTGGGATGTGAATGCTGGCTTGTCTGGCTCTAGAGCCTCGTTCCTGACTGTTCACTGTGTGTCTTCAGTCCCTCTGCCCATCCTCCCTAACTCTTGAGGGTTGAAGAGCTACAGACCAGAGAGAAAAAGAGACCAGCAACCTGTCCTCGGGAAGCCTCCAGTTTAGCCAGGGTGACAGGATGCTCACCCAGGACACAGATAGACATGGGTATTATTATTATTATTGTTGTTGAAGTAACTGGCCATTGACTCAAGTGAGTGCAGATGCCAGAATGTTTCTTAACCAGGGCCCCAGTGGGTAGGAAAATTTTACTGTCCCACATGGAGCAGGTTGGTTAGAACCCCGTCCCCTAGCACTAGATATCAGTAGAACCCTTCTCCCCCACCTCCAGTCACTGTGACAATAGACCAGTGTTTTTTTTTTTGAACCACTGAAGAAACTGAAGAATAGGAAAGGATTAAGATAGAAGGATCATATTCACCAGATTTAATGTTCAACCCCTATATACCACCTCTTTGGCCAAAGTTTTCAGAATTAAACCACCACGTCCTTCTCCCTAGTTTGTCTTAGTCTGGAAATTTCACTGAAACTTATGTACTATTAGTGACCCTGTTAATATTTGAAATATTGGTGGCATAGTTTCTAGCATCAGAGCAACAGGCAAGCCACCACAGTAAGACAAACTGACAGACCAGTGGTGGGACATTTCATTCAGTAGATATTTAAAGCGTGTACCTACCAGGTGCCAAGGTCCTTGGATAGCACAATGGTCTATGCGGAACTACTAACCAAAAGGTTGGCTGTTCAAACTCACCCAGCCATATTGCAGAAGAAAAACCTGGTGATCTACTTCCATAAAGATTACAGCCAAGAAAATCCTATGGGGCAGTTCTACTCGGTAACACATGTGGTTGCCATGAGTTGGAATTCACTCAACAGCAACAGGTTTTTTTATTTTTTTAACCCGGTGTCAGGCACAAAGGTTAGATGTTGGAATACAAAATGAATGTTGTAGGCTGGCCACTCAGCTGCTCCATCTGGGTAGGGAGTCAGATGAGCAGGCCTACAGGGTATGGGGGTACAGGCTTCCAGGAAGCCCCTCTAGCCCAGGCATTGGTGTCCTTGCCAACTCATTCTTTCCAGGCAGGAGCAGAGTGTGGAGGGCAAGTTGAGAGTGTGTTGTGATAAAAAGGCAGAGTGGAAGAGGCACAGCGTGGCCAGACATGGGCTAGAGAGGGAATGAGGTGGGTCATGCCGAGCATTGCCAGGTCTCTGGGAATTTTAAACGGGAGTCATGTGATCAGATCTGCCTGTAGCTTGGAGGGTAGAAGGCAGGGCTGGAGGCAGGAGGACCAGATGGATTCTTGTAACAACAGTCCAGGCCAGTGGGGATGGATGGAAAGTAGGGGGCAGATTTGAGAGCTGCTTGGGTAGGAGGATCAACAGGTCCAGGTGATTAATTGGCCAGGGCGGGATGAGAGTCAGGGATGATTCGAGGTCTCTGATTGGGTGACTTGGTAGATGCATGCAGTCTTCTGCAGTAAGGGATAGAGGAGAAGGAGCAGGGAAGGCGAAGGGTTCAATTCTAACCTGTAGTGTTGTACATGTTTCTGAATAGCCAGGCTTGCCCAGTAGGCAGTTGGATTTTCAGGTTTGAGATCGAGAAGGAAATTTTAGTTTGGAAATATGAGTGTGACCATTTGCCTGATAAAAGGAGTCAGGTGAATGAGTGACCCCCAGCCCCCAGGAGAGTATGAAGAGAAAGAACCCAGCCAGAACTCTGCGTTGAAGAAACCAGGCATATTCAGAGATGCCCTGAAGGGCAGTGGAAAGGAGTGGCCAGGGAGGTAGGAGGGAGCCCAAGAATGTGTCATGGTAGAACCAGGGGAAGCAGTGGGAGTGATTAAATGCTGTTTAGAAATAAGGTAAGTTAAGGACTGACAAGTATCAATTGCACTCAACAAGGCCACAGAGACATGGCAAAACCTGTTCTCATAACACAGGCTTGAGGCTGAATTTGTTGGGTTGAGGAGTAGCTAGAGATGGAGAAGAGGAAACAGGGAAGGGAGACAACTCCTTTAAGAAGCTTGACTGTGAAAGGGGATAAAGTAGCAGTAGCTGGAGGCAGGAAAGATGTTGGTTAAAGATGTAAAACAGCAAGGAGGTTTGGGCAGAGGACAGGTGCCAGGGCAAAGGTTGAATATATTAGAGATCACCATGGCAGTTGAGGGCTGGGACCCAGAGCCCTGGCTGAGGGGCTTGGCCTGGGATGGGGGGATTGATCAGAGAGCACATAGATGTGATTCATGGAGGAGCCCTTCCTCATCAACTGGAATTTTTCTGGGACACATCAGGCCAGGCTGTGTGGAAGAGTGAGGTGGCTGGGAGGTTTGCAGATGGGAAACTTTGGAATGGCTCCCAAGGGGGTGCTGAGAGAATTGTGGGTGGAGAGGGGAAAGGATGACATTGCCACATTGAGGGCCCTCTGTAGTGGGCCCTCACCACACACCAGTGTAGGAGACCACACACTGGTGGTGACACCAATCTGGGTAGGAGTGGGCATGCCCCATCCTTGGGTCCTCAGCCCTTGTCTTCTACCTCCCGCACTGGCCTCCACCTCCACTACCCTCCAGAAAACCCCCAGTCCTCCATCCCTATCTCTGGGCCCCTCAGCTCCTGCCAGCTTCTCAGTGCACACGGCCACCTGACCCAGCAATTCATTCCACAACCATTTTCTGCTCATGCCAGGCGCTGGAAGGACAGAGGAGGGCCCCACCATTGCTGAGCTTACGGTCTAGTAGGGTGAACCAAAAAGGAAGCAACAGGATAGTTACAGGCAGTGAGAAGGGGTGTGAAGGGAGCAAAATAGGCAGGGTGGATAGGAGTATAAGCAAGAACTCTGGAGCCAGAGTGCCTGGCTTCCGGTCCCGCTTTGACTATGTGGTAGCTGTATGACTTTGGCTAAGTCACCTCACCTCTCTCTGCCTCAGCTGTAAAGTGAAGAACATACAGTTGGTTGGATTCAAAACAAAATTCACAAAAGTAAAATTGATTTTGTCACATGCCGAGAGCTATGCCGAATCCACTCAAATGAAGTGATGTGCAAGGTACCCTGCTGCAGCCTCCCGCTGTCTCACAGACGTTCAGTCCCTCTCCCCCTCTCCTTGTTTGACAATCGTTCACCTCGCATCTCGTTCGTTCGCTGCTTGTGCTGTGTGCACCCTTTGTTTCTGTGGAAAAAAAATGGCTTCCAAAAAGCAATTTAGTGGTCAAAGCAATCCCTCAAAGGATAAGCAAGAGTGTAAATGGCTATATTTATATAGCATTTGCGTTGTATTAAGTATTATAAGTAATCTAGAGATGATTTAGGAGCTCTGGTGACATACTGCCTAAGGCATTTGACTGCCAACCAGATGTCTGGTGGTTCAAACCCACCAGCCACTCCTCAGAAGGAAGACTGGCTGATCTACTTCTATAGTGATACCGCCTCTGAAACCCAAGGAAGGGTCACTATGAGTTGGATCCGACTCGAAGACAGTGAGTTTGGAGTTTTTTTTTTTTAGATGATTTAAAGCATAAAGGAGGATGTGCACAGATGATATGCAGATACTGTGCCATTGTATGTAAGGGACTTGAGCATCGCAGATTTTGGTATGGGATAAGGGAGTCCTGAAACCACCTTCATGGAGGAGATAAGAGGATGAAATTAGTTAATATTTGTAAAGTATTCCAAGCTGTGTCTGGCACATAGAAAACACTGTAATAAGCTTTTTGTTTTAAGTAATACAGCATCTGGGGAGAGCACTTGGTTTGGGTGGGTGAGGGATAGCTTTCCCCCGGCACCTAAGATTCAGTATTTCTGAAAGCAGACTACCCCCTTCCTCTCTTTTTGGAGTTGGACCACAGCTCTGCCCACCACCAGAATGGCCATGGCCTTCTCCCCTCCTCCACTCCGTTCACCCTCCCTGCTGCCTGTGGGCAGGGGTGGCAGAGAGTGGGATGTGCTGGGGGGCTGGTGGAGGGTCTCAGAAGGGCCTGGCTGATGTATTACATCCATCTGTCTCTCTCAGTGCTGTGTTCTTCGTGACATACCTGACCTTGGCCTGCTGCTCTGGACCCAGGTACGATGATGGTTTGTGGGAACAAGAACAAGATCTTGGAAGCTCTGCTGTGGCTCTGACAGCCACCAATGTGCTGTGTTCCCGAGAGGGTTTCATCCCTCTCTGGGCCAATGTCAAACACGCCTGCCCCTCCCTCCCTCACTTGGTGCCTCTGAGGTGGGGGGAAGGTGGACGGACAGATAGGGACAGATGGAGGACATAGGGATGAGGCTGAAGGAAGAGGCTCTGAGGAGTACAGATAGGGCCAGGCAGAGAGCTGCAGCGGGGACCCAGCCTACAGCCTCTGGCACCTCACTATCCTCTGAACCCTGGCTTGTCTTACAGGAGGCATTTCCCCTGGAACCTGATTCTCCTGACTGTCTTTGTAAGTGATGAGAGCTTGGGGAGGGAGTTAGGGTGTCCTGAGGACAGATGTCGAAGAGAAGAGAGGGTGGGCTTTGAGGGCCAGGAAGTCTGTGTCAGGGACGTTCATTGTGAGGTCCCTGGGGGCCAGGAGTATTTTCACCCCATTTCTGCCAAGAGGGAGTTCTTATGGCACAGTGGTTAAAGCCTTCAGCCACTGACAAAAATGTCAATGGTTCAAACTCATAAGCCACTCTGTGGGAGAAAGATGTGGCTGTCTGCTTCTGTAAAGATAACACCTTGGAAACCCTGTGGGGCAGTTCTACTCTGTCCTGTGGTTCAGAATCAACTGGAGGGCAACATGGTTGGTTTTTGGTTTTTCTGCAAAGAAGTTCCGCCTTCTCCTCCCTCCCCACCCCTTTCCTCCTCCACCCCAAGCACAGCAAGGGTTACTTTTCATTGTATGCATCATCCTGCCTACAGCCGCAGACAGTGAATGAGAGAAGGGAGGGGGGTCTTAGAAAGGGGGGAAGAGCAGGGATGTGAAAGAGCTGGCACAGGCCTGTTGGGGATGCTCCTTAACCAGCCTGATTCCTGGAAGTCATAATGTTCAGGGGTGAAGCAGACCCAGAGCTGATGCGACATGCAAGGGGACTGGGCTGGTTCCAGACTCTGAGCTTCACCTCACTCTGCTCTCTTCCTTTAGACCCTGTCCATGGCCTACCTCACTGGGATGTTGTCCAGGTAAAGGGAACAGATGGGAGTGGGGAGGGGGACCCTACATTAGCCTGGGAGTCAAGGGCTGGCCACACCCTGAGGGAAGTTTTCCTTCCTGGACCATCTGGATTGGAGGGGGCTGGGGTGGCTTCAGGCAGACAGGATGCACCGACCTAGAGCCTTCTTCTTGTCCTGGACAGTGACCCCAGGACTTGGCCAGGGCAGTGGAGTAGGCATGGGGGATGGTAGAGAACAAGGTGATACCTCTCAAGCTGCAGCTCAAAAGACCCCAGACTCATGGTTACGCAGTTACCTGCAAACTACCTGCAGGCACTAGCAGAATCCCCTCCCCACTCCTTGTTCCTGTGTGACCTCTCCCACCTGTTAAAGATTCTTCTAACGTGACTTTTAATGTGAACATGCTGGGGAGGGGTCCCAGCGGAAAGGCTGAGAATGCAGAGAGCAGGGAGGAAGGGACACAGGCTTGGGCCAGAGGTGGTGGGATCGGGTCCTGGCAGAAGAGTGGGCCTATAAGAAGGGCTCTGGAAGGCCTGAGCCTGCCCAGAAACTGACCTCTTGGCCTGATGGTCCTGCAGTTACTACAACACCACGTCTGTGTTGCTGTGCCTGGGTATCACAGCCCTCGTCTGCCTTTCAGTCACCATCTTCAGCTTCCAGACCAAGGTCAGCTCTGTGCCCTGGGAGCAGTGACCCCTGGCCTGAAGCTGGGGTGGGGTGGGGGTGAGGACTCCAAGCTTGGACCAGGGCTGAGGAGAGGTAGAGGGATGAGCTGGGCCTGGAGAAGCTATCTGGGGAGGGCAGGGTGGAATGCCGGGTCCTGGGGCTGAGCACAGGCCCTTGGCCTGCTGTCTAGGCCTCAGCCGCCGGCCAGTACCATGCCTGGCTGGGGCCCTCAGGAATGCCACGCCGCTCTGTGGAGGCCTGCAGGGCCGGCAGCTGACACCATCCTGTCCCCGCAGTTTGACTTCACCTCCTGCCAGGGTGTGCTGTTCGTGCTGCTCATGACTCTCTTCTTCAGTGGCCTCATCCTGGCCATCCTCCTGCCCTTCCAATATGTGAGTCTCTAGTCAGACCCCCACATATATCTGCAGGCCCCTGGGGAGGTGGGGAGAGGGCCTGCCCATGTGGATGCTCTACCCTTCTACACCCTTTAGCTCCAAACAGTCCTGTCTGGCCCCTCACGGCACCTGTCACAGGCGTGTTGGCTATGTGGGCAGCCTGAGAGCTAAGCAAACAAGGCAGCTTTTCTTGGCAGGCTTGAGCACCTCCACGAGCCACATCCGGCTTCACCTTCTCCACCCTCCCCTCTCAATGGAGGTGAGGCTGAAGGAGGGTGGAGAGTATTTAAGCTCTGGGCAGAGGAGGGAGCACTCCACGGGGTCAACCAGGCCCAGAGGGGCCCAGAGGAAGGACCAGCCATTAGAACCTAGCTGCCAGGCCAGGCAGGAGGTGGAGCCATGGGGCTCTGAACATACCCCTGCCTACCTGAGGAAATCTGAGAGGACTCCTGGGCTCATTGCCCCAGGCCACTGCAGATGGGAATGGGGATAGATTGGGGACATCACAGGAGGGGTCTTGAGGTTTGAGTCCTGGGAACCCAAAAGGGAGCTATTGGACCCCTGCTGTGGGCTCAGTGGGCAGGGCAGAGATCCCTTAGCTCACACCTTTGGCACAAGCACTCCTATCACCCCAGAGAGCAGCTTTCCTCACCCCCCATCCTTTGCTCCCATCCTGCCCAACCCCAGCCTCAGGGCATTTGGCTCCCAGTCCAGGACATCAGGATTGGTTCTGGCATTTCTTTGGCTCTTCCCAGGATCCTGTTGACAAAGGGAGGGGCCGGAGCTGGCCTGGGGGCCCTCTGTGTGTATAGGATAGGGAAGTGGCCACAGGAAGGGGCCCCCAGAGCTACAAAGAACCCTTTGTTGACCCAAGTCAAACTGATAGGATTCCTGAGTTTCCAGGAATCCCTGGGGGTGTACCCTGTGGAGGGTCTGGCTGGGGTGGCACCCCTTGCAGAGCTTTCAGACACAGCAGAATGCTCCTGAGACCTGGGTGTGGGGAGCAGAAGAGGGGAAGGGATGCTGCCCCAGCCTCTGCAAGCAGTCCCATTGTGCACAGCTGGCAGGCAGCCGCTTACCAACCCAAGTCTTTGTCCCCTTCCATCTGAGCCCCTTGTCCCCACAGTTTGAGCCAGGAAGCTCCACAGAAGAGAGACAGACAGACCCTCTACTGGACAGGGATGAGCACACACCAAGAGACAGGAGCAGCCCTCAGGCCAGAACCAGGCTGGGAGGATGACAGCCCCAGTGGGATATGTCATCCTCTCTCCTTGAGCCTGGGGCTGTGTGTTGAGGAGAGAAGCTCCTGGGGCGGGGCCTTGGGAGCTCCCCTGCCAGCTTCTCCATGATCTCTGTCCTGGGGCTCCTCTTACCCAGTGTGAGCACACAGAGCCTTAGCACTCCACTGGGCCCTGAAGTTTCTTATGGACAGCTGGGGAGGGCTGTATGGTAAGAAAGGAGCCCTCATGGGAGGGAGGGCTATCCCACATCCCCAGGAGAAGCCACCTGGGAGGGCAGGGAGGAATGCCCAGTTCTGGGTCTGAGCACAGAGCCTTGGCCTGCTGTCTAGGCCTTAGCCTCAGAACCCTCCTTTCTACCCTTCTGCCCTACCGCCCTGTCTCACCATCCCTAACTCTGCTTTACCTCTGCCCTGCAGGTACCCTGGCTCCACGCAGTCTACGCAGTGTTGGGAGCAGGAGTGTTTACATTGGTGAGTGGGGCCTAGCTCCCTGAGGGCACTGCCTTCTCAGTCTTCTAATTGTGTCCCCAGGTCCCTCCATCATTCCTATCTTCCTCACAGTTCTCCCTGGACCCTTTTGAAGCACCTGTTTTGGGGGCTAGGTCTAGTGCTATGTCCAGGGAATTCCATCTGGTCTCCAAGACAGACCACCTGCCCTGGGCAGAGGGTAAGAAAAGCTGTAACAGCAGGATTGATGCTTTAGACAGAGGCAGAGATGGATGAGAGGAACCCCTCACACCTGGGGAAAGTCAACATTGCTTGTAGGGGTGGGAGAGTGGGAGTGTCCTGGCTGCATGAACCAAGGAAATATTTGCTCTCCTAGGGGTAATCTAGGAAGGCTTCTTGGAGCAAGGGAACTTCCAAGTCCCCTGTGAGAGGCACACTGTAAGACTGAGCTTGTTCTTTGTTGGTGTCAGTTTTGGAAGCTGAGGGTTGATGACAATGATTATGGTGAAAGTACCAAGAATCACTAATGTTTGCTGAGCACTTATTTCTCCCCAAGCAAACTCTCCATGTGCATTTAATCCTCACCCTAAGTCTGTACCTAGATTCTGTTGTTATCACTGGGTCCCTGGGTGGTCCAGGTTCTTGGCTACTAATGGAAAGGTTGGCTTTCAAACCTACCCAGAGGCACCTCAGAAGAGGGCCCTGGTGACCTGCTTCAGAAAAGTCACAGCCATGAACCCTGTGGAGCGCGGTTCTACTCTGCACACATGGGGTCACCATGGATCCAAATCAACTCAACAGCAACCGATCTGGTTGTGTTATCATCACATTACAATGAGGAAACCAAAGCTCAGAAACACTGAATCATCTGCCCAGGGTCACACAGCATCTTAGGACGTGGTGGGGCCAACTTAGGAACCTGGACAGTCTGGCTCCTGAGCCCCATTTAGGGTCTGAGGCTAGGTGGGGAGGGGGTAGGACAGACTGGGAGCAGATCCCCAGAGGTCAGAGTGACCAAGAACAGACACCTGCTTAGAGCAGCCCAACCCAGGACTTTGCTCAGGTGGACTCCAAGCATGTGGATATGGCAATGCTCCTGACCCATCCAGATGGGCAGGTCATTTGATGTCATCTTATTAGGGGGGAGGATCCCAAGGTAAGCATGCACTGTCAGTAGGAATAGTAACAAGACTCATCTCCTCATTGGAACATTCAGCTCAACTCTGTCTGGTCAGAATTCCGGCTTAGTCATAGAGTTTAGAGCCTTGTGGGTGAGAGATTGGTGGTGCAGAGATGGGGAGAAGGGTGGGGATCAGAACTGTGAGCAAAAGCATGAGGGTTTGGGATAAGGATCAAACCAGAAATGGGGGTGTGGTAGGTCCATTCATTCATCTTCTCTACAGGTCATTATTGAGCACCTACTATGTGTGTGTGAGGTTCTGGACTGTAAGCCGGGGTTGCCAGTGAGTGGCACCTCATAACACTCAGTAAATATTTCTGGGATGAATAAATGAACTTGAGGGCTGGACGGGACTAAGTAAGGATCATCTAGTGAAACTTCGAGCCCCTCCTCTTACCAATGACAGAAGTGAACTCGAGAGAAGTTGAGTGATTTGTCCAAGGTTTCCTGGCAAGATGATGGCAAAGCAACCAAGTGTGCGTTTGGTCAAGACTAGAATGACCAATTCATCCCAGTTTACCTGGGAATTTCCTGGGTTTTAGTCCTATAAATTCCACTTCCTAGGGAAAATCTTAAATCCTGGGCAAACAGGGCTGGATGATGATGACTCTGAGGCACTAACTTCTCTGGCTTCTGGACAAGAGATCCTTCCTGCAGGCAATGCTTTCAAAGAAAAAGCTTCCATTTAAAGGATGGTGTGGGGAATTGGGCTAGGAAGGAAGAAGTTCACAGGTGGGGAGGCCTCAGAGGCCAGTATGCGTCTGGGGACAGAAGGACCAAATCAGGGAAAATGAGGCTGAGAAGAGTGGAAGGAGGTAAGCACTGATGGAGGGCGGGGAGTTCAGTTGGCTTCTTGTAGATCAGGTCCCAGCAAGTGTGTGAGCTCTGAGGGAAGCTGTGCATACAAGTGGGGCTGAATGAGCAGTAATCTCTTGAATTTGTTTAATAATCCCTTGTGTTATTAGGACAATAAAAATAATCTCAAGCATCTGTTCCACCCTTCACATTTTACAAAGCACTTCTCAGCCTCTGACATACCATGTATTTTTCTGATTTGTTATTGGTCTCCCTCCAACAGAATGTAAGTTTCTTGAGGGCAGGGGTGCTTGACTGGCTTGTTCATCACTGCATTCCCAGTGCTAGGACAGTGCCTGGCACACAGTAGGTACCCAAAGATGTTGACTGAATGAATGGATGCCTGAGAGGTGTGATGAGGGTTGTGCCAGGCCCAGTGAGGTGCTGTCACAGCAAGGCAAGGAAGCATTGGCTGCACAGTTGATTTCAGCGGCGTCCCAGTAAATATTCTATGAGTCACTGGGGAGGAGAAAACACATGCCTAATTACCTTGCTAATGTCTCATTGCCAGATCAACACACCAAAGCCCTTGCTTGGGATCATCCTGCAGGTTATGTAAACAATGGTCAGGCCACTGGTGGTGAAGTCCCCAGCTCCAGCCCCTGCCCACCTTCATCTTCATCAGGAAGGAAGACATGTGGCAGGTCCTCTGGGTCCCATTAGGTAGAGGCAAGTTGAGGAGGGGATGTTGGGAATAACTCCTCCCCACCCCACCCCCTGCTGCCCCCGGGTTCTCTCTGGCAGAAGTGGTCAGGGCTTTCAGAGGCCCAGCCCCACATGAATCAAGGCCCCCATGCCCTGCTGTTAACTTCAACTCAGAAGGTCCTGGACCTCGCTCTGACCCTGCTTCCAGCATCAGTTCTGTCCTGTGGAGTCATGTGTGGTCCCCTGGCTTCAGCCCATTCCCAGAACAAGAGTCCAGCACTCACTGCTCAGTCTATCAGTGGGGGATTCTCAGTACAAAAGGGGACCTTCAGCACTGTAGTTAGGTAAGAATCACAGACTGCATTCTGTGCCGTGAGAAAGAGGTAAAGTGAAATGTCAGAGAAGGTCCCAGAACTGCAGTGGGAACCACCCCCCACAACTCCCACCAGCCTGTGCATTGAAGGCGTTGTGAGAACCAAATTATTTTCTCTCTTAAGAAACTTTGAACCCTGCCCCTACTCTGAAAGATTCTGCCATCTTTGAGGACAAGCCCCCCCAGGCCCCACCCCAGCTGGACTGCGCTGAGATTTGGGGGTCAAAGGAGCTAAGACTTTTTTTTTTTTTTTTAAAGAAACTCATGGAAAGGCAGCCAGGGAGTGTGAGGTCTGGGCTAGGCTGGGGTGCTGGGCAGGGTGGAGGGCCCAGGGCAGAGCAAGAGGGCCGAGGCAGAAAGTGAGGCTGCAGGACCAAGTGCCTGGCCCGCGGTTTCTAGCTATGACCTAGCCTCCAGTGCCCACATGACTTTGGACTAGTTGCTATACCTCGAGTTGGCCTTTCCTTGGGGAAACTAAGGTCTCTAAGCCATCTAAGGGAGCTCTGGTAGCATAGTGCCTAAAGCACTTGACTGCTAACCAGAAGGCTGGCAGTTCAAACCCACCAGCCACTCCTCGGAAGGAAGATGGGGCAATCTACTTCCATAGTGATACTGCCTCGGAAACCCAAGGAGGGGTCGCTATGAGTCGGGTCTGACTCAACGGCACATAGCAACAACAACAACAACAAAGCCACCTAAATTGGGAAGCCAAGTGCCAGAGACCTAGGGAAGAAACTAGGCACAAGACTTTAGAAATTAGGTGGCGGGCCGAAGAGGGGCAGAACTTGCTCTTCATTGCCCAACCAGTTCTGGGACCCCGGGAGGCACTGACAGTTGAGAAGCAGGGGAGAAACACCATGGTCAGGGCATTTAAGGAAGATTAGTGAGAAGCCATGTAGATAGGTCACAGGCTGGGAGACAGATGGGATGCCACTGCAACATCCCAGAGTCAGGAGGAGGGTGACAGGAAGAAAGTATGCGGTCAGTACTGATGCTTCCGGGCTGACAGCATTGGGGTGAGTGAAACTTGGGTAGAAATACTGGGTCTCCAAGGCTGAGTGTTGACTCCTGACCCTGGCAGGGGGCACAACCATCTGCCCTCAGTTCCTAGCAGGTCCTCAGGGAGTATGTCCTGAGACCCAGAGAGAGTGGCTTTGGCCAGCAGGGCTGGGATGAGAGCCCCATTTTCCCTGACTGTAGGCCCAGCATTCTTCCCTCTCCATTTCACAGATGGGAAAATGGACGTCTAGAGAGGTCCTCCAGACTGATTCTCCCACTGCAGGAGGGCTGAGCTCTGACACCCCAAGGCCAGGCTTTCAGCAGTGACTTCTGTCCAGCCCCTGCAGGGAATCTGTGTTCCACCAACTCATGACCAGCCAGCTGAAGCCATAGCATCTGGGGGAATTTGGGAGAAATACTCCAGTCTCCCCTCACCCCCACCCTCACCCTTCAGCCTACCTACTTTTCTAGTGGGGGGCGTGAATGTATGCTCTACCTCCTTAACAATTACGGACACACTTTGAAAAGTAAAAATGGCCACACAAAGCCAAGGCAGGGAATAGTCTTATTTCTGATTGATCTTTATTTCATTCCGTTTAGAGGCTCTTTGCCTCTGTAGTCTATAGGAGCCGGAGAGATCTTTCTGCCGAGAACCTTCTCTATTCTGCCACCACCCCCCCAGAAACAGCCCTGATACCCTACCTGAGGCTTAGTTCAGTGGATTCCTCTAGGATTGGGCGGAATGACCGGTAATTGCTCCTTCAGGGGAAAGTGTGTGCTGTCCCCCTGCCAGGCCTCACCTCAGTCTCACTCCCTGAGGTGCTAATCCCCAGGAACCAACGCCCAGCTCAAACCAAGAAGTTCACAACAACCTGACAGGGAGAAGGTGAGAGAAGACCTCTCCTCCCCCCCACCCCACCCCATCCCTGCAAACACTGGAGCTGGGGGACTGAAGGAGGGAGACGGGCAGAG